TTATTATAACATCTCTTCCTATAGTTCCCTGCTTTTAATGCTCAGCTGCAAGCTTTCCCAGCTCGACATCTTCATTCTTTATTCTTATCATCTCTTGGAAGGCTAAATGCTCCTCTTGGAAGCATTTTTTTTAAAGATTTATTTATGCATACAAGAGCTGGGGTACAGGCCAGAGGTGCAGGGGTGAGAGGATTCCCCAAAAACAGAGTGGGGAGCAGAACAGGCAGACTGACTGAATCCACTGCTGAGGGGGGCAGTGGGGAGACAGGAGAGGTCTGCTGCGCCCTGGGGTCACTCCCTGGCCGAGGATCAAACTCAGGCCACAGTGGCTGCGAGAGCTTCATGGTGCTAAGACTTAACTCCCGCATTACCAGGAGGGCCTCTTGGGAGCAATTATTTTTCTAGAAGTAACACATACTTGCAGAGGCTTCTCTGACCCTTACTCCTGAACAGCAACCCTGTCAGGTATGAAATCTGACATCCAGATGTTCTGATGCTCGTGATCAGAGGCGGTTGCACTATGACCAAGGGCCCCTTGGTTTACTCCCAGATGTTTCAAAGACTGAAAGGGAAGAGAGGCGCATCTGGGAGAGGCTCTCCTCCCACAAATGTCCACAGAAAGTGGCTTCTCCCACCCCAGTTCTCAGCTCCTCTCTTCACTTCTTCCGCCTCTCAGGCGCCAAGACTCTGTGGCAAGGAAGTGTCTGTCACCGGAGTCTATTCACAGACCCACTGGGTGGCTCTGGCCTTTTCATTCACTTCTCCTCCCTGCCCTGTGTGAGGCAGGGCTCAAGGCTCATTCAAATCCTAAGAGAAAAAGCACTGGTTGACGAAAGAGAACACACCACAGATGGACCAGGAATGGCCACCAGCAGGAACCAGCATAAGTGGCAGCATTGGGTTGGCCTCCATGGTGGTCATGGGGTGACCCTACAGCTCCCTGCAGGACAATCAGCTCAGACCCTGCAGCTCTTCAGTGATGCTAACTCAGGGTCATGCTCTCTTTGGGCGGTTTCTAGCTAGGATGACCCGGGGCCCTTCTGGGGGGCCGTGGGACTCCGCCATTGGGTACCTGTGCTCAGGGCCAAGCCAAAGCTGCACTGCCAGCCTCAGCTCTCTCCGCCTGCCCCCCCCCCTTCCCTGGTGCCACGCTCCTTTGTGACCTGAAGCTCCGCAGTCTGCTCCTGCTGCATACCCGCCATGAGCACACCCTAAGAAGTCTCCCAGGTGGACCTAACACCACTTCGGGTTTCTGACAGCGCCGATGTACATGTGGTACTGTGCAGCACCTGAGGCGTGTGGCGGGCTGTCCCGCGTAGGTTTGTGAAAATACCAAACGCCTCTGTGGTGTTCGCACAATGAGCCCTCACCTAACCGCCCCCTCAGACATCTCCATGTGGGCAGACGGGTTAGCGTCTCCTCAACACCTCTATCCCCACCTTGGGTGTGACCCACTGAGCAGTCACTGCTGGGAGCTGCTGGGCTGGATGGGAGCTGTTAGGGGCCAGGCAGCCGGTCGAGTGCAGGGTGCCCCCTCCCAGGGGACTGGACTTTACTGGCCGTTCACCTTGGAGAAAAATGACTTTCATCTCTGTGGCGGCCGGGAGTCATTTAATCCTATTCCAGTAAAGCGCCTGGTCTTTCTTTATAAAGATTTTAATTGATGATTCCCTTGCACTTCCCAAGGGAATTCAGTAGATTGGTTTTCCAGGTTCTCTACTCACGCTGCCATTAGTGGAGAGTTTTTTATTTTAACCTAATTTCTTGTTGCCTGCTCATTGAGTGTTTTCTCTGGCTTCAAAGCTTACTTTGGAAGAGTCCCAACTTGCAGGCTGCCCATAACTCCGGCGGGCTTCTAGAACCTTCCCAGTGGGAGCACGGCCAGCGACTGGCCTACCTGTGCACTCTCAGACCGGCCGTCTGCGCGGGCAGTCGGCCGGATGGTCGCGGGTCCCTTCACCCCGCCGCTTCCCTTGGTTCAGCTGCGGGGGGTTTGGATTTGGGCTCTTTGAACATCACTGATTTTTCTCCTGGTCACTCTGGTGTTTCTGGATTTTCGTTCCCAGGGTTGCATGTGGGCCGGGTTGATGATCGTCACGCCGGCGCTGCAGAGCCTGGAAGCTCTTTAATTCAAACTAGTGTCTCTGTGTGTGCGGTTGCTGGTTTTCTGCCATTTCTGACGTCGGAGAGGATGTCTCCGAGCTGACTTAGTCTTCCTCTTTGCTGTGGTTACGCTTTTAAGTACCAGGGGTTAGGTTTTTGTCTGCTTTTCTCCTCATTTAAAAAATTCGTCAAGCTGGTTCCCAGTTATTATCTTTTTTGCCCCGAGAGGCCCGTGACTGTTGGCCAGCCAAAGTCTTAAGCTTTAAGTGTGACGACATGCGTCTTCCTGCCTCTCTGGTGCCGTCACCGTAGGGAAGTTAATCCACGGGAAGGCGCAGCCTGTTGGGAAGCCGGCGACTGAGCTGCGGGCTAATGTCGCTCCACGCAGGCTGCACACACCCCCCGCGCACCTTCCACTGAGTGACTGAGCGGCGGCACGGCCACCCCCAGGTGCAGCGGCGCCCTTAGAGCACGAGGGTGTGACAATTCCCGAGAACTATGCAGGGTGAAGGAAGGAGGGCAGAGCTGTGGGTGCCCTCGCTCCCAGGCTTAAAGGTGAGCACGGGTGCGCATGCGCACACCTGCAGACGTGTGTGCGCACCTGCGTCCTCGGAAAACTCAAGAAAGAACGCCCTATTATTACCAAGGTTCCCCAGGACAACCACAGCCCTGGGGGGCAACCAAGCTGCCTCCTTTTGCTCTTTTGTCCTATTTGCATATCTGATGGGGAGCTTAGAATAACTTTTCAGTTAAAGGAAGACCAGAGAAATGGCAGAGCTCAGCGAGCAGCTCCCTGGTGGCCATGCGGGACTCTCGTCACCTCCCTCACTGCTGAGTCTGGGGCTCCCAGCCCCTGGTGGGAGGACGTGAGTGGCGGCCTGGGGCTGACCCTGCTCACCCAGCGGCCTGCCGGGAGGTGGCTGAGGAGAGGAGAGGAGAGCCCCTGCGTGGGAGGCACCGCCCTGAGCCCTGAGTGTGGCTGAGAAGGGGAGGGCAGAGGCCAGTGGTCCTGGGGGTCAGGGGTGAACATCTCCTGGCTTGGAGCTGCCCTGAGACTGCTGCTAAGGACTGAAGGTTGGGGAACCCCATTCATATGTTGAAGCCTACATATACCCCAGGGTGTTGTCGTATGAGAAGGTGTTGTGGTGGGGAGGGGGTTAGGTCACCGGAGGGGGGTGCTCATGAATGGGATTAGTGCCCTTAAAAGAAGACCCCAGAGCTCTCTGCATCCTTCACCGTGTGTAGACAAAGTGAGAAGTTGGCCGTCTGCACCCCAGGGGCGTCCCTCAGCAGAAGCTAACCCTGATCTCAGACTTTTTGCCCTGAAACTGCAAGAAACAAATGTTTAATGTTTATAAGCCCCTCACCCAGCCTGCCCCCGGCCATGTGTCCGTTTACGGCACCCAGTAACACAGCCACTTAACCGACACAGGACTCCCTCCACGTAGCGTGCATGGCACCCCCAAATCACCCAGGCTCTTTAGGCAGAACCTGCCAGGGCCCACCTCCCTCAGACGGTGGCCCGGGCCGGTGAGAAGCCCTGAGGTATGACTCACCTCCTGATGCTGCAGCCGGGTCCTCTTGTCCCTGAGGCCAGTTCAGATTTCCTCTCTGTCTGAAGTGCTCTCCTGGCCTGGGAGACGTCACCCTCTTCTTCACTTCCTCTGAGAAGGTCCAATCCTCCATGCTCCTCCATCTTCTGGTCACGGCAGCTTTAGACCTGTATCCCCCAGCCCCACGGAAGGAGCCCTGAGCCCTGCCTGGAAACCCAAGCAAGAACAGCAATGCTGTCCCTGCCTCTGGGCCAGCCCGCGACCCCGCCAGAGGAGCAGACTGTCCCTGCATCAGGGGAGATGACTCGGGCGTGGGACCAGCTCTGCAGTCAAGGGCGGTGTCTCTGTCCAGCCTGCGGGGCTGTGCGCGGATGGGCCCAGGGACGGTGTGTCTGTGTGCCGGGGGGGAGGGGTGGTGGGGGGACCTGGGTCTTGGAAATTGAACCTCAGCAGCAGGCAAGCGGCCGCTTAAGCCAGCCCTGCCCCCGTTCTGTGGGATGCAGTTACGTGAAATTCTGCGTGCCTAAACCAGTGTGGGTTGGGCTCTGTTGTTCCCACCTCCCAGAGGAGTTCCGGTGGGGAAAGTGGGGATGGATACTCGTGCTCAGCAGAAGAAAAAGGCCCATGTTGGCATGTGCGTCTGTGGACATGTGGGTGCACGTGTGTGGGTGCGTGCACACCCATGTGCTTGCAGCACACATGTGTTCACATGTGCATGCAGGTGTGTGGGTGCATTCACGCCTGTGTGTTTGCAGCACACGTGTGTTCATGGGTGTTAGCAGTACGTGTGGGTGCTCGCTGGTGCATGTGTATGGTGCATTCACAGTCATGTTCGCAGTGCATGTGTCTCTGTGTGCACATGTGTGCGCATGTGTCTGCAGCACACATGTACTCGTGTTTCTCTGTGTTTGCAGCACACGTGTGTGCTTGTTGGTGCATGGTGTGGGTGCATTCATGCTTGTGTTTGCAATACATGTATCTGCATGCACATGTGTGTGAGTGCACGTGTGTCCGTGTGTTTGCAGTGCATGTGTGCACACAGGTGCGTGTGTATGGTGCATTCACGCTCGCGTGTTTGCAGTACACGTGTGCTCGTGTGTGCGTGCAGGTGTGTGCGCACAGGAAAGACAGCGTCCGTCTGGAGTGACACTCTCAGAAAGGGAAGTCTCTCTGTCGGGGCAATAGAACCAGAGGCGATTTTCCTCTTCGGAGTTTCTGTGCTCCCAGGGAGTGCGCGCCTGTGTGATCAGGGAAATGTACCGTTCTCCACAGTCAGCAGAATCCAGAGCTCCAGCGCATGCGTGGAGCCTCATCTCATCTGCTCTTGCCCTTGCAGGAGAGAACATGAGCTCTAGCTGCTCCTTCGACACCCAGGAGACACGGATGAACAATCTGTGCCTGGGAATCCACATCCCCACCTTCATCCTGGGCCTCCTCCTCAACCTGCTGGCCATCCATAGGTTCAGCAACTTCCTGAGGAGTCCAAATCACACCGCCACCTCCATCTACATGATCAACCTGGCCGTGTTCGACCTGCTGCAGGTGCTCTCGCTCGCGTTCAGAATGACGCTGTCCACGAATTGCTGGCCCATGGTGTACTGTACCATGGCGGAATGTCTCTACTACATCAGCATGTACGGCAGCATCTTCACTATCTGCTTCATCAGCCTGGACCGATTCCTGGCCGTCCAGTTCCCGTTCCTGACCATCCACCTCCGGAGCCCCAAGAAGATCTTCTGTATCTGCTGCGTCATCTGGGTCCTAGTGTGGGTGGGGAGCATCCCCATCTACAACTTTCATGAGCAAAATGGCGACAACAAAATCAAATGTTTCCACAACATGACCAACAGCACCTGGAGCGCCCGTGTCATTATGCCCCTCGAGGTGTTCGGCTTCCTTGTGCCCCTGGGCACCGTGGCGTTCTGCTCCTTCAGGACCATTCACATCCTGCTCCACTGTCAGAGCTACGCGCAGAGCTGGGCCCACCGGAAGGCCTCCATCTGGACCATCAGGGCCAACCTGGCTGTCTTCGTGGTGTCCTTCCTTCCCGTCCACCTGGCCTTCTTCCTGAGGTTCCTGATGGAGTATAAAAATGTCTTCAAGGAGCAGGAAACCATAGATAACATCAGATTCTTCCTGCAGTTGTCCTTGTGTCTATCCAACACTAACTGTTGCCTGGATGTCTTCTGCTACTACTTTGTCATGAAAGAATTCCGTGCGAGCCTCCCGACCCGCCGGACTTCCAGCTGGTCCACCACCTGGTCTACCAGGGCCTCAGGGAAGCAGAAGGAAGCCCCGCCCCCGCACCCCAGAAGCAACACCCCATCCTGAGGGTCTTGACATGCGCGGCAAGGGGGCTCCCACCCGGTCCTTCCCTCTGGATCAACTGACTGCTGTCCCAGCTCGCTGAGCCCCACAGACCACTCCCCAGTACCAGACAGCTCGACACAAACCAGCTGGTCCTGGGGAGCCTCTGAAGGCCCCAAGAAGCAGGTGAACACTTGATTGCCAACCCCAAAAGGCACGAGGTGGCAAGTTACAAAAGAGGATGAACCCCCTGTCTTTCTGTTAGACTAGGAGATTCTGGAAGGGAC